GAATAGACGGGTAAAAAAAAATCATCATCCATTTACCTGTATGGGAGGTACCCAAAATAAAAATGTTTTTTAAGATTTTATTTCATACTTTTGTGGGTGTGATTAATATCTATAATCTTAATCATTCTCTCTCTCTCTCTCTCTGAGTAAAACCGTGGACGGACGTACGGACGGACATAGCAAAATTATAAGGGTTCCTTGTTGTTTAACTATGGAACCCTAAAAAGAGAAAAAAGTCTACACACGGGGAGTCGAACCCACGACCGTCGAATTTCTAGTCCGAGCTCTTACCGCTACGCCAACTCGTGCTCGGTATGCGCACTAACGTAAATGGGTTATACGGTGCGAAACATTTTTTTCTTTACTTAATGGCACAGTAAACAAACTATTAATATAACAATAAAAAGCGGCTAATTTATGATGCCACGGATGACATGATGACGCAGGAATGACCGTGTCGGTATGAGTTGGCTTTCGATAAATTTGAAATTCATGTAACGACTCTTTTCTTGTTATTGTTAAGTCGAGAAAATTAAGGACACAATCGTGTTCAAATTCAAGCTTAAATTTAATTTTGTCGGTTGTGCCAGTCCAGGAAACAATTGTTTTTTTTTATAGGATAAGGGTGACAAACGAGCACACAGTCCACCTGATGGTAAGTGGTTGCTGCGGCCCATAGACATCTACATCTATCCTCCATTACAAATCAAAATGTAGATGCGTTGTCACCCGTGAGGACCAAGATGGAATGCCTCATTTCCAGTAAAAAGGGCCTCTGGCTACCTGCACTCACCAAGCGAAACGCAGAGGTAAACCTCTACTTCGCGCTGGTTTTCTGTGAGGTCGTGGTACCACCCTGGTTCGAGCCGGCCCAGCCGTGCGACAGCAAAAGCTGCCGCGTGGCTCTACCACTGTGAAAAATGTCGTCTACATATCGATAATAGTATAAGATATTTTGATTGACAACTGTGTGTTGTTTATCAAAATTATCCATAAAAATATCCGCCATAAGAGGACTTAGAGGGGAACCCATGGTTAGCCCTTCTTTTTGTAGATAGAAGTGGTTAATAAACCGGAAATAGTTTTGTTTCGTACAGAGAGAGGTTAAGTTTAGAAGATCATTTGTTTCACCGGGATGTAGACGACGTTTATTAAAGAGATCTGCGAGTATACGCAAACAGTCTGGGGATGGGACATTTGTGAAAACTATCAACGTCTAAAGATAACATTTTGGAGGAATTGATCGCATGACGTAATCGCTCTCTACGTAATTGGAGCGCGGTCGCGTCAGCAAGTAGTATAAATAGCAGTGGTTTCGGCTCGCCGCTCACTTAGCGGCCAGCCTCCGCAGAGTCTACTTCACCTGAGGATGCCTCGTGTAGAGGCGAAACACGTGTCGTATTTTCGAGAGTGGTGTGTCGTGCCTAGTGTGGTGGTACTGGGGATGGTAGTGCGCACGGTTGAGGGAGGGTGGGAGGTCGCCTTATAACTGGGCAGGACACATCATTTTCTTTCTTTACGCGGAATTAAGCAAATTAATTTATAACAACCCCAATATAATGGATTTCCGCAAAGTAACGCCTTAATCTATCAATGACCCACCACTACTTGTTAGAGTGGTTAAGGTCGGCCACAAACATACGGAATTCCGTTTCGGGATTCCGTTTCAATATTCCGATTCGGGATTCCGAACGCAGGAAGTCTATATAAAATCACTCACCCGAACGGTATTTTTCCGTACGGAATTTTCTCCGATTCGTGATTCCGTATGACCGCCTGTGCGTTTGGAATCCTGAACGGAAAAAATCTTATATATGTGTATAGCTTTTCGTAACCTTTCATCTTATTTTATTTAATAATTCGTCGAAAGAGTTTACAGACATCCATATTTAAAAAAAATATCTCTGGATAGATAGATATTGTTACATAATATTGATTATATTGCAATCTTAGGGTGATAAGGGGATGCACCAGTAACAATGATACAGCAACAATGGAATCGCAATCAGAAAGTCATCGTCATTATTCGCTGGTAGAATGTATAGACTCAAGACATAACGTCTCTCAACTGAGCCTTGTTATTCCGAACGGAAATAAAGGCATGTTTGTGATGTATTCACGGAATCACGAAACGGAATTCCGTATGTATGTGGCCGGCCTAACGGTAATATTTATAGTATAAAGACGGCCACATACATACGGAATTCCGTTTCGATATTCCGAACGGAGCAAGTCCATATAAAATCTATGACCCGCCACAAATATACGGTAATTTTCCGTACGGAAGTTTCTCCGATTCGAGATTCCGTACGACCGCCTGTGCGTTCAGAAGCCCGAACGGAAAAAAGCCGCTCCGAACGCAAGTCTTTCATAGATTTTGTATGAGTCGCAACACACATTCGTAAATTCCGTACGGAACGCGCTCAGTGTTCGTCGCATGCGGAAGCGAGTAGGTGTGTTTATGTATATTTAGCTTTTCGTAACTCTTCATCTTATTTCATTTAATAATTCGTCGAAAGAGTTTACAGACATCCATATTTAAAAAAAATATATCTGGATAGACAGACCTTTTTACATAATATTGACTATATTGCATGCTTAGGGTGATAATAAGGGGGTGCACCAAGTAACAATGATACAGCAACAATGGAATCGTAATCAGAAAATCGTAGTCATTATTTGCTGGCAGAATGTCTAGACTCAATGGCTAACGTCTCTCAACTGACCCTTGTTAGTCCGAACAGAATTCCGTATGTATGTGACCGGTCTTAGTAGTATACTTTTTACATCTATATCTATACAAATAAATAAAATTGAAGTGTCTGTTTACAATGTCAAAATTACAGCGTTTTACTCAATGTATATGAAAGTATGAACGGTACTTATGTTGTCTGTCTGTTTGTTCCGGCTAATCTCCGAAACAGCTGGACCGATTTTGACGGGTCTTTCACTGGGAGATAGCTAATGTCATACGGAGTAACTTAGGCTACTTTTATTTTAGAAAAATAATTAGGGTTCCTCGCAATAAAATTAAAACCCGAAATTACACGCGGGCGAAGTCGCGATGAACAGCTAGTAGGAAAATAAAACCTGATAATGAATGCTACTTTTTAATATTATAGCTACATAGTTACATATATCACATGTGTGTAGTGTGTACAATCTATCTGTGCTCTCTACACAATAACTACCGGAACGAGGTATTCAAGTGCATTGTTGTACATAGATTATTATAATATTGTATTTCGAGCGTACGAACGGGTTATCGGGTGTGATGTTAATGTCACTTCAGTCGGTAGATTGAATGATTCGTTAAACCAACAGCGTAATACTTAAGTAAGATTAAAATAAATATTTACCAGTTAATATGTTTACAATAAAAGGGAAATAGGTACCTACTTAATGTTCTAAATAGACGTACGTAATGGAAAATATGTTATCAACCAGAGTATTTATATCACTACTACGTTTATTATGGGAAGGAAATGTTTTCTACGTAAGTCTAGCGCTGAAAGATACGTGGAGGGAACGCGCACAAATTGAATAGCACGAATGCGACTGGAGAGCCAATCAGCGCGTGCGAACGATACGCACGAGCCAATTAGCGCGACTTATGCGCAATAACGGTCACCGCTAGACTTTCGTGCCGCTACTTATACCCGGCACATTGCTGCCGCACAAGAAATAATTGTGGAAATATCGTTATAAATTTGGATGACTTATATTGTTTAATTACGAATGATAATACATCCATTGAAATTTATTCATATAATATATAACTTTCAAATAAATGTATCGGGACGATAAGTTTATGACGCGCGAGTGCAAACAAAAAGTTAACAGTTATCGCAATCTGATGAAAGTTATGGCTGCCCTATATAGTAGGTATCTAATCAATGGATATGGCAGCGCATAAAATACGTTTACAAACAAACATTAATTTTTATATATTAGAAGATATTGTATGATTGTATGACTACACAACTCGGCGACCTGCGAATGGGTCTACAGTTATAAAATTTCTAGATCCTGGATTCGAATCTTAAGACTTGAGTTAAAGTTCTTGTACTATTATTTATTCTGTGGTTAAAGTAAATTAATGAGCCTGTGCAAGAGACGTAATTACACAGCAGTGATGAATATTAATTTGTTAATTTTAATTTTTGCTCTAAGTGCCACGAGAGGCGCGCTTGTACCCAACAAGCGCGCCTCTGTTTGAATTATCAAAAATAAAAATGAGAACTAATCTCATACGCTCTATATATAATGAGAACTTATCTAATAATTTATAAAGTAAAAGAGCTGGTTGTTATTTCAAAATGTATTGTAGACAGTTAAGTATTTATTATTTTGTTACTTTTAAAACTGTATTAATTTTAACATGGCTGATGAAGATACTTCAATCATGTATCATTCGTGGTAGAGCCATGGTGCTGTTATATGGTTGTAGCACAAATGGGACGGCTCGATGGGGTAGGATCACACTGTCACGGAATAGCAGCATTAAATTGCAGATTAATGCTGCTGTGTTTCGTATGGTGATTTTGGAGGACCGAGATCCTCTTTACTGGAAACGAAGCATTCCATCCTCACAGGTGATAACGCATCTGCGTTTTGATTCTTAATCGAGGATAGTTGTAGATGTCTATAGGCCACAAAACTCGCTTACCATCATCAGGTGGACTGTCTACTCGTTAGTCTCATATGGGATTTTACCACAGATGCCATAGGTGCCATGCTTGGTAGACGGATTAGCAACTGCAATATTTTTATTATTTTCAGTAGTTAACAGGAAAATGTTGCTAAGAAGGGACAGAAAAATCAATCAGAAGATGGACTGTTTGGTTTTTCGTCTTATCTTACAGCACTAAGCTTGTTATGAAAAGGAGAACATCCAACACGACATAATTATTGCACTACCACTAAAATTATTTAGAAAAGAGAAACAAATATAATCAAACAAAATATATAAAAAATGTATAATATATAATTTATCAATACTAATTGTAATCACTTTCTACGATATCCTTAAAATTTTTAATTCTCTGCTCTGTCTCTATTATGCTTTCTTTGAGGTCCCTGTGTACTTCACTGTAAGCTTTTATAGACTGGTTGGTTTCTGTGAAAATGTTCTGTAAGATTTGCAAATGTAGAATTCTGAAAATAATACACATATATTAATTAATGTTTTACTTTTAACCTTTCATATACATGTGTGTTAAAACTACAGAACATAAATTAATGTAAAAAAATTTAGGCCCTACTAGAACATACCTCGCGCTTTGCGCTTACGGCATGCAATATTATAGATAACACAAATGTACCTAGTTTTGCATACCACCATAAGTTACAAACATTTGTGTTACTGCTAGCCTCAATCTGCACCAAAAAATGCATTGCAATTTTTTTTATAATTATTAATGTGACAAGCAAACTAACAGTTCAGCTAATGGTTAGTGGATAATACAGCCCATGGACACATGCATCCAACTCTAAACAAAAAAGGCTACAGACTATTATCACCACCGAGTACTAAAATTCTCTCAGCCTCCAATTATACTTGCCCTCTGTAATCTTCAGACCAAGCAAGTGGTAAAATTTTAAAATTTTGTACAACCGACTTCAACATAAATTATTAAGGATAACTAAAAACTATTGGTCAGACCTTGATCAAATTTATATAGGACCACATGATAAACACCAGCCAAATAAAAAAAGAATCATCTAAATCGGTTCAATTAGAAAAAAGTTATGATGTAACACACATTAAAAAAAACCAGTGAAATTGAGTACCTCCTCCTTTTTGAAGTCGGTAAGCAAGTGATATAATACAACATAGATGGTCACAATTCTGATCAATTTTGGAAAAGAGGAATGAGAGGAATAGTTAAAATGAATAAGGTTTAGAGGATACCATTAGGATATTCTAAAATGTATTTTTTAATTTTTGACTTGTTACAAATTTAAAAGAAAAATAGATTTTGGGGATGGGAAATAAAGATTGGTTGCTAACAACAACAGAATCACAAAACCAATGTAATAATATATAAATTGATATTTGCCTTCTTGAAACTATAATTGTATGTAGAGAGATGTAGTGGACTTTTTACACGGTGGAGCCATACTACAGCTATGTTACAGTTGTAGCATGAATAGTCAGCTTGACCGGGGTAGGACCACACAATATCAACATAAAATAGCAGCTTAATACTGCTGTGTTTTGTATGGTGAGTATGAGAACTGGAGACCCTTGCCTGAAAATGAGTCATTTCATCTTAATCCTTGGGGTTGACAATGCATCCACATTTTGATTCTTTAGTTTTTTATAGGAGACAGCTAAGCGAGCATGCGGCTCATCTGATGGTAAGTGACTACTGCCACCCATGAACAATTGCAACAAAAGGGGGAACTGCAGATGCATTGCCGGGCTTTTAAAAAGGATTCTCAATCAAGGATAGATGTAGATGTTTATGGATCACAGTATCCACTTACCATCAGGTGTACTGCATGCTCGTTGATTACCCTTATTCTACTAAAGGAAATTTCATGCAGATCAAAATCTTCTTCTCTGCAGTTAACATTAACAAATTTAATAAATTTTCACCCTAAATAATAAAATTGATAACCTATGACAATTATTTGTAGCAAAGCTATTCTATTAATGTTTTATTTCTTAGTAGCTAGTACCCAGTGCATTGCTGCCGCAGAAGAAATAATTGTGGAAATATTGATTTAAATTTGTAAGATTTTTTATTGTTTAATTAAGAATGATGATACATTTGTTGAAGTTAAATTATATATCTTTCAAATAAATTTGTTATTGCACATGCACGCCACCTACTGTAAGTTAATTGTACTATGCCCATAACCTTCACGCAAGTACAAGGAATAAGTTAACAAAGTTTTACCACAATCTGATGAATGGTATCACAGCGCATAAAATAAGAACAAAAAAAAAATTATTTTTATACATTAGATTTTGATCAAATTACTAATAGGAAAGTAAAATAAAGTGGATTCAGTTTAAGCCCACTAGTATCACAAAGGACAGTCCTGAGCCTGAGAGATTTCATTAGATAGTTATACTTACTTAGATTTCAGGTTAAGAATTTTAGTTTTTAGTGTTAGGAGCTCACTGGAGGTATCACTGAACTTTGACACATCATGAAGTCTATGATTAATCCACTCTATCATCAACTCCACCTTCTCACTCTCTTGACTTTGTATTGTTCCAAGTTTATTATCTACACTCTCCTGCAACTCTTTTATTTGGTTTTTAGGAACCTTCTCTTTATTTATATTTTGCTTCAGATGCTCTAATTCAGCTATAAAATCTGGTAGTTTGTTTTGAATCTTTTGGATAATTGCTTGATTCAGTTCTGCTTGCTCATCAAAAGTTAGTTCAACGGCTGTCTGATGCATAACACCTGGAAAAACATTCCAATAAACATTTTATTCCATAAACCATTTAACCATTTATTAATACATTAACTTACTTAAATTTTTGTTATTTTGGATTGTGCTTAATTTTTAAACCCCGATGAAAACAGACAAAAAAAAACAGAAAACAAACAAACAGACAGACACATTAAATTAAATTAATATATCTAATAGAATACCAGCGTAAAATAGCAGCTTAAAACTGAGTGTAGAGAACTGGAGACCCTTTTTACTGGAAAAGAGGCATTCCATCTTAGACGTCACGGGTGATAACACATCTGCATTTTGATTCTTTATTGAGGATAGATTTAGATGTCTATGGGTTACAGCAACCACTTACCATCAAGTGGACTATGTGCTCGTTTGTCATCCTATCCTATTAAAATGCTATATTTCAAAAAAATTTGTTCAGCCGTTTGAAGATGATCAGCTCTTTTTGTTTCGGGGTTTTAATTTTATTTTATTTAAGTTATTATATTTATCTTTTAGACCAAAGTACCCGAGAGACCTAAAGGGAGCATCGTCGAAGCTACAAGACGACTGGTACTGCAAGACTGCCAAGCGAGTAAGGCGGTAGTGAAGTTTTATGTCGTGATAAGGACAAAAATAGCATAATCTCCGAAATCAATCACAGCAATAAATTTAAAATAAAATCACCTAGAAGAGTAGAAGTACTTTCATCCGCTGTGCTTAATTTGTGTAAGCTTGCGTAGTGAGTTAACTCTGCATGAGCTATTATTCTGTTAACTTTTTCTACTAGTTTTGCAGACAAATGGTTTTTAGAAGCGTTGCATAATGATTTGATAATTTCCAAAAGAATGTTCTCTTGTTTTGTTTTAATAAGAGTACCAAGATCTTCAGTGTTCGTAGCAGTATCCATTATATATTTTGCAACTCCAAAAAAAGTCAATGACGATATATGAGAGTTTATTAAATAAAGCGCACACACTGTCACACACAGAAAATTATTTAAATCAGTAACAAACGCAAAAATAATATGATTATTGTGTAATTGTGTACATAAACAAAAGTTAAAGATTTAAAATTCAAAATTCAAAACAATATTCTTTTTTTTTAATTTTTGTTTTTTGTTGTAGCATTGGCAACGAGGCCTACAGCCAAAAAGAAAATATTAAACGCTACTAGGATAGTTGCTATACTCTTTCAACGCTACTAATACTAAAGTCCGGACCAGTCCGGATGCGAAGCAGGAAGAATTTTGTACTTTTATTTTTAAACGGAAACTTGTTATTACCTATCATATTTACGCGGGAGTGATAGTACTTAGGAATTGATTAGTGTTATGGTCTGACTAAACTCGTATATGGAACTATAAGGATGTTCTATGTTATTAGTTATATGATTAATGCATGCGTGTTGACGGGTCGGTAAATTAAATAAACTATAAGATTCTAGTTATGCATTAAGTTTGCCAACTCTTCGCATGTAAAAGAGCGGAGGTAGTAGAGTCCAAGGGGGAGGCATTGATCGTTAGTTTGGACATTGCGAAGGCCTTCGATCGGGTTTGGCACACAGCGCTTCTTCAGAAGCTCCCTTTATATGGGCTTCCCGAGAAATAGTGTAATTGGATCACCAGCTTTCTTGTAAATCGGAGCATCAAGGTTGTGGTAGACGGTGCATGCTCCGATTGCAAGCGTATTAACGCTGGTTTTCCACAAGCTATCACCAACGCCACTTCTGCATATTAAGTATCAATGATATGTTGAAAACCGGTAACATTCATTGCTGCATTATTGCAGCACTGGTGATGCTTTATACACCGGCCGTGCCAATATTTATCAGGAAAACGTCGCCAAGCACCGGAACACACTTGTGTCTGAAGTTGAGACTTTGTTGAACAAAGTTTCGGATTGGGTGTGACTTGCGCGTTTACCGCTAAAATACCCGTTTGTCGTATCTCCTCAGTTTCAGAGCAGTCCCCTTGTTGCCTCAGCCAGTATTGGAACCCTAGGCGTCGACATATCGAATGACGTGCATGGAAGAGAAGGCCAATATGGTCTCCCTTCTTCTCTTCAAAAAGCTTGGCGTGCTCAGCCGAACGTGACAGCGTTTCATGCCGGTACACTGCCTGCAATTTTACAAGGCGCAGGTTAGGCCTCACATGGAATAATGTTCCCATCTCTGGGCCGGGGCTCTGCAGTGCCAGCTCCTTCCATTTGACCGTATTCAGCGCAGAGTGGTTGGAATTTGCGGTGACCGTGTTCTTTCTGATTGCCTTGACCCACTGACACTGCGAAGAGATGTTGCATCTCATTACCAATTTTTTCTCATCTACCACGGAGAATGTTATGAAGAATTGTTCCGACTTATTGCAGCCGCTCAATTCACCATCGCACATCACGACAACACTCGCGATACCACCCATACTGATGATTGGCGGTCCACCACTGTGCGATTTACAAGAAGAATTTTTTCTTCTTCCTCGTACAGCTTCCTTGTGGAATCGACTACCACCAGCGATTTTGCGGACCGATACGACTTTTATTAAAACCCTTCGTGTTGCAGATGTTCACGGGCGGCAATCGAAACTTACCATCAGGTGACCCGCATGTAATGTACCTTTACTTTATTTTCATTGCAATAATTAAAATTAATTCTAAATCTAGCATCGATCTGATTCACTTTTATTTTAGTTGTAGTAATTTTAAATTATTACAATTTTTTTATTATAATAAAGTATTTTAAACTAGTTTCGGTTTTTTTGGGTCCTTCGGTTGCAGTTAACGTAATTGTTCTGATTTCGTTCTGGGTAATTCAAAAGATGGATTTGCCATAATTCTAGGAGGAAAAGTAAACTCTTGTATTATCTTTATAGAGCAACACGGGCTACCAGAGGACCGGAAGGGAGTAGCCATGCGCAGGCGTTCCGCTCTGTCAAAGTACAAGTCCACGCGGTCCTATGCGTACAATGAAACTAGTTGCAGCCGCATTGCTCATTAAACTCTATATATATATATATATATATATATATATATATATATATATATATATATATAGTTTTCCGGCTGTATCGACATCCTATATTAATTCCAAAATTTTCCTTTGTTTGCTGCATAGAGACATCTTCCATGTCTATTTTACAAAATGATGGTGATATATAAGTAGTTTTTAATCACATTATTAATATTTACTTTGTTTTAAACTTAAAATGTTACAATAATAACGGCCGTGTCGATTAGTTTACCAACACAGGCCGCTCGCCTTCATAGAATATGCGGGTCGGTCAAACAACTAATCCCAGTATATATACGAGTTGTCGCTGTCACCGAGCGATAGTGTTATATGTATGTATCTATGTATTATATGTGTGAAATTGTAAGTATATTGTTGTAATTGTTGTGTGTGACTTTCACAGTGACAGACGATGTTTTTCTGTACGCAGATTTCCTTCGCAAAAAAGACAGATAGTTCTGAATCGGGAAAAAACGCTATGGCAGGCCTCTGTCTGTGAAGTAAATACCTACAATTTCGCGGAACCTAAGGTTATATCTATACTATATAATATAATAAAGCGGAAGAGCTTTTTTGTTTTTTTGGTTGTTTAAACGCGCTAATCTCTGGAGCTACCAGTCCGATTTGAAAAATTCTTTTTGTATATTACAGCCAGATTCATGTGGAATAGTATAGGCTACCTAAAATTAAGCTATATCACTCAGCTAGCCTTAAATATAGATATTTGTTAAGCAAGTCAGAAGAAAAAGCACTCCCGAAATGATTTATCCGCGTACGCTGGTGTTATCGTTAGGGATACGTAAATACAATGTTCTAGAAAAATACAGATCTTTACTTTGTTTAAAAAAAAATCCGCGGTACCATATGTCTATTTCTTATACATAAGCCATAATTAGGTATTTTGTGACAACAAACTATTGAAAATTTAAGAGTGATTTATGAGCGTTATTATTAGGCATGGCCTAGTTATCCTTACGAACGAAAGTTACTTCATCAGCAAGACAATTTTATGACGATAAACTTTGTTCTTTATACCATGTTATTTGGACGCAAAGTTTAAGAGATAATGTAAAATTAAAATAATTCAATACTTGGCTGGGCGCGCGAACGACACTTAAACTCTTGCCGCCCGGTGAGAACTGCGAGAACTGATCAACCGGGAGGGGGAGGGAAAGTGGATAAAACTTAACTTTGCTCTACATCATACATAATATGCTTACAGATAAAAGTACTCCATTAATAATGCAAATTTTTCCATCCATTCCTATCAAATAAAATATTTAATTGCAATAATAAAATGCTTGAACTAGGTCATGTCGCGCACCTCCGACACGTGATGACGCGGGTGAAACCGCGGGGCACAGCTAGTAGTACATACGCAGTCAGAACTAGCGCGTTTTAGGTGAGAACTGTACTAGAGAATTTAAAAGTTTTTAACATTATTTACGTAAATAGATTTTTTGTAAATACAGAACAAAAACATAAACACTCACGCCTGTCACCCAGAGGGGTAGGCAGAGACTATGGACTTCCATTTGACACGATCCTGACACACCTCTCTCGCTTCCTCTACATCCATATACCTACGCATACACGCTCGTCGGTTAAAGGTACTCTTGATTTGGCCCATTTTCAATATATCGACGATTTGGTCGATAAACTTATGCCTAAGGCGTCCCTTCTCGACTCAGCCATTCACCTCTGCAACATAAATTTGCTTTGTCACTCTTTCCTCATTCATTATTTCTACATGACCAAACCACCGAAGCATTCCTTTCTTAATCCTGGTCACAACATCATCTTGCAAACCACACTCTTCTCTTATCACACAATTTCTCATTCTGTCATTTAGATTCATCCCTAACATACTCCTTAATGACCGCATTTCTACAACATTTATTCTACTCTCGTGCTTCTTCTGTCACACCCAACTTTCACTACCATACATTAAAGTAGGGACTAACACAGCATTGTGAATTGCCATACGTGCCTTTTTGGACACATTCTGACATCTCACAATGGGGTGTAGAGCCCCATTCACTCTATTTCCTGCATTCACTCGTCGTTCTATATCCTTATTATGTCTACCATCTCTGCTAAATACACATCCCATCCCAATACACAAACTCATCTACTTGCTCGACCAACTCGCCTTCTCGCCTCTTATTTCACATATCATTTTAATTTCTTCTCTTTCAAAAACTATAACTTTCATCTTGCGTTCACTTTCATTCCCTTTTCTTTTAATGTCCTGTTCATTAATGTAACCGTCATTTGCAACTCAGCCGCCGATGACGCAAGTATGACTTGGTCATCGGCGTACAAAAGGCATTTGACGGTTAACTCACCCATTCTTAACCCGCATTCTTCTACTTTCAAATTTTCCAAACAACTGTCCATAAATAGGTTGAACAGCCACGGGGAAGCCACACAGCTCTGTCTGACACCTTTATGGATGTCAAACCAGTCCAAGTAGGCTCCGTTGATCCTAATACAAGCCCTAGAGTCCCTATACAGATACCTTAATGCCTGTATCAACCCAACGCTGAACCCAAATGAGTTCAGTGTTTGCCATAACACATCCCTGTCCACTCTGTCATAAGCCTTCTCCAAGTCCACGAATGCACAAAAAACTTTTTGTTTTTTGGCCAAAAACTTCTCCGCGATCATGCGCATGAAAAAGAGCTGATCTGTATATCCCATTCCCTTTCTAAATCCCGCTTGCACATCTCAAATTTTTCCATCAGTTTCTTTCATAACTCTTTCAATTAGTACCTTCGCATAGTTTTCCCACAATGCTAAGAAGGCTTTTTGACAGTCCTCCTTTTTTTTTTTTGTTTTTTTTTTTTGCGCCCGAAGCAATTTAGAAAAGGGCTACCCTTTACGTAGGGAGGCGGAAAATACATTACGCATACCACGATGGCTATCCATCGTGGTTATGGGGGACTCACGCCTAACCGGGGAGCCTATGTGATACCCCCTTAAAACCACCTTTGGGGACTGGCAACCAGCTGTTTAAAGCTTCATATGCCGTATCGGAAGCGACCCTCTTTTGGGAAAAGAGGGCGCAGGCGGCTACAAGCCGCTGAGGGAGTGCCTACGAAGGCAATTTAATTGTAAAATTTAATTATTTATGAAAGTTTAATTATGAAGTTGAATGAGCCACCTGGAGGCAGTTCAAGTCGTTTGACAGTTTATTATGCGGGTTCGAGTGGGAGTTCCTCGGCCTGCGGATGCGATAGCGAGAGGGAGTGGGGTTGCACACTTAGCTACCTCACGAATAAGTATGTTTAATGAAACTCTGAGACTTTGAAGAAGTTTCAGAGAGTTTTAATTAGTAAGTGCCTACGAAGGCAATTTTAACCCGACGTATATTGACCTTACGGTGAAATGATTAAAATAAATTTATAACGTACTTAAAAGATTATGATGCTCTGTAAGAGCAAGGAGTCGGTCCTGAGGGGACTTGGCAGCGCGCAATTTGCGTGCTAAGACGGTGATCTCCCCAATGTTGATGTTCTTAATAGCGGCGTACACCGTATTTAGATCATCAACCATTGAGGGTTGTGTTTGCTGTGCAGCGGGGGACGACCGCGGTGGGTCGGCCTTTTTGGGGCCCCAGGGAAAGATTGGAGGCTGAAATGGATGCGAGAAGCCCGGAGGTGGGTGAAGAAGAGGGGGAGGGACCCGGGAGGGCCTTGGGTCCACCTGAGATGGTCGAAAATAGCTCTTAGGTGGCAATCTTGACGGGAGGGCCGGGAATGACTTAGCATTAACCGGCGGTGGAGCGTGCCTAATGGGGCGGGGGTGAGGTGCGCAAGGGCAGCCTCTGTAGTTAGCCGGGTGGCCTGTTTGTTTACACAGGACGCACGCGGGTGGGGATTCGGCATTTTTGGGCCGGAGACACTCTTTCGTGTTGTGGGGGTCGAGGCACTTAACGCACCTGGGTGGGGCGGAGCAGTTGGCCGCCGCATGACCATATAACTGGCAGCGGTGGCACTGCGCCGGGTAGCCGCGCCTATGTGGGAGCTCAGCCCTAACTCCCGACAGCCCACACACTGTGCGTAACTGCCGGAAGATGGTCTGTGCCTCCGGAGCGTTTGCGAGGATTACCCGTTCTGCTGTGCATTTTATGCACAGCCTCAACCGGGAATCCTTGGGACTTAAGGTCCTCAAGGATTTCCTCGTTGGAAATTTCAAAAGGGACGCCTCGGATGACGGCCCTGATTTTGCGCTCTTCCGGAAGAGCGTACGTGTGATAAGAGACTTGTTCGGCTGTGAAGAGCCTGGTGAGACGACGAAAGTCGTCGACAGATTGGGGGATGATTTTAATAGCCTCCCCGAGGTTGGTGGCTTGGTCGTATTTTATTCCTGCGTCGTAGCAGGCTTTGGAGAGGCGGGTGAACTGAGCCTTGTCTCGTAAGAAGACAGGGGGCGGGACTTGCTTCTTAGTCGGGTTAGAAGCACAGCGGGAGGCTGGCTTGGGCAGTGGTGTCACGGAAACTGCAGCGGGAGCTGCGGGGACTAAGGCAGCTACGGGGGCTGCGGGGTTTGCGGGGGCGGCAGAGGCCGCCGAAACGGTGAGATTTTTCGCGGCGCGTTTACGACGCTTGGAAGACACTGTCGTGAACTCTGATTCTTCGGATCCGTCTGAGTCAGACGACTCCGTAGAACCAGAGCCCCGGAGTGTGGATTCTGAGTCGGAGTTGGAGCACTCCATGTCTACTTCGAGAGGCGCGAATGAGTTCTGGGACTCAAAGTGGGCCGCTATAACGGGCGGCGGTGGGTGTGCCAGATGGGCGGAAGCCAGAATGGCGGTGATGGCTGCGGTAAGAGCCTTCGGGTCATTACGGAGCCTAAAGTTAGTTTCGATGAGTGAATCTATCAAGACGGACATTTCCGACATTTCCGGAATGAGTGTAAGTTAGGTACGATAGGGGGACAGAGGGACACTGTTCTGAAAAGAACAGATCGTATTCTTAAGAAACAGTAAGGGCGGGATCACCGTTCTGAAAAGAACGGGACGGTCTTATTCGAGGAGTTGTGCCCTGGTTCTCAAAAGAACAGGGCCTTGCTCTGAAAAGAGCAAGTAACTCCCTTGAAACAATATACACGTTACAATTAATAACAATAAAATAATCACAAAAACAAAAATGACAATTAAAAAGCAAGACCAACAGTCAAACCGCACCGCCCGGAGACAGGGAGGTAATAACTGGAGTTAGCGTAAAAGGACTCACCAGGCGTCGCACTGTACAGTGCGAGCAGGACAGCGGAGGCGCGAGAGCGAGAGAGCACTACCGTACGGGGACGGATGTGCGGACTACCTGGACACGACCGCTCGAGAGCGGTGCCACAGGCGGATGGCAGTCCTGCTGTGATCCTTTTCCTTTATATATTGGGACTATTACGGCTTTGCACCAGGTACCTGCTTAAGTTCCCAACATAAATTATAGTTATATAATTAATATTTTTGTAAATACTTGTATAAGTACTTTTGTTCATTATTTAGTATATTTAGTTAAAGAATGAAATTGTTGTATAAGTTTTAGTGTAATTTATATGTATATTATAGAAAATTCATTCATTAACAATATTGAAAACATAATAATAGAAAAACAACAAATAATTTACTAAAACTGTAGGGGACTGCAGTGGACTCTATGACTTTAAAACTAACTAACTGTGTACTATAACTGATTTTAACTATTCTGTGTAGGGTAAACTATACTAGGGACGGTTGAAGAAAAGTTGGTAATGTAAACGATTATATATTCTGACTATTTACAAACGGCAGTGGTTAATCAATTATGTACAGATGAGGTCTTCAATGGAGTATTCTTTCTTGAGGTTTTCTTTCTTGATGTTTTCCTTCGTAGTGCCGCTGCCGAAATGAATGACGCATAACCCAAAACCAAAAGAAGGGCTTCTTATATTGTCAAAAAGGGTGTCTCGGCACATGCGTGGCATTATAAGGTGTGCCGCGCGCTGGTTGGTCGGCGGCATCACGTGATATTCGGGCGGTGTGCAGGGTGCGCGGGGCACAACGGGTGTGAGGGGGCGACGGGGCGAGGGCTCCCCTCGCCGTCTGTAACAAAAATTATTAAGGAATATTAATTTTATCATTCTATGTGTATGTTTTTACTTACTTACTTAAATGATACATTAGATTTAGAGATTTTTCCACTCTAAAATTAGATAACGTTTAGTTTAAAGATGAAATAAGACATTATATCACAATAAAACAATTGTAAAAATTAAATGGTACTATACCTACATTCTGTATTTTTTGCTCATTGTTGAAAGACCTAGGCAACCATGGAATATTGTCCGTGACGTAGGAAAGGAAAAAGATGCAAAGCCATACAGACACTCGAGCGCGGCGATATAGTTTAATTTAGCTTGCGTGTGTGATTTATCTAATTAATAATAATTACGTAGGCTATTAAAACGTCGGCAAGTAGTAAACATCAAATAAGCGCAACTTCTGTACGTAGTACTATTTTACTACACGAATTTTACTACGCCGCCATTAAAGAGGAATAAAAAGGAACCTTTTCTAATTTCAAGCATGAGTTCCTAATCTAATGTGATTTGTGTGATTGTTATTAAGGTACATTAGTTTATTGTAAAAAGCTTTTCGTACAAAATACAAGTCTGACTGGGATATATGGTTTCTTATCATTAGGCGAACAAAACACATTTGAATTAAATAAGTTTTTAAGAAATTTTATCGCGTTTATTAACTTACTTTACATTTCAGATGTTTCGAGTAACTTAGAGTATTAGGCCAGACACATACATACGGAGTTCCGTTTCAGGATCCCGTTTCAGAATTCCGATTTCGGATTCCGAACGCAGCAATTCCATAAAAAATCAAGGACCCGTCACACACGTACAGTAGTTTTCCGCTCGAAATTTACTTCGATCTGAAATTCTGCATGACTGCCTGTGCGTTCGGAATTCCGCATGGTAAAAAGCTGTTCCGAACTCAAGTTTTCCATAGATTTTGTATAAGTTGCAACACAAATTCGTAAATTCCGTACGGAATACACCCAGTGATTGCCGTACGACCAAAGCGAGTAAGGTGTGTTTATGTATGTTTTTACATGTAGTATTATATATGTATCTCTTATCGTTACCCTGTGTATTATTTAATTTTAATGATTCGTTGAAAGAATTTATAGACATCCATATTTAAAAAAAAACCTCTGGATAGATAAATCTTTTTAGATAATATTGACTATATTGCAATCTTAGGCTGCTAAGGGGATGCACCCAGTAAAAATGATACAGTAACAATGGAATCGCAACTAGAAAGTCATCGTCACTATTCGCTGCCAGAATATCTAGACTCAGTGGCGTCTCCCAACTTAGTCTTGTTATTATGAACGGTTACAAACGTACGTGATATATTTACGAAATCCTGAACCGGAATTCCGAATATATGCTGCCGGCCTTAGAATTGAAATTTGTTTTTTCAAAATAGGGTGTATGGTCTAAAGACCTTTGCCTGCCTTAATTAGTGAACAATAACAATCAAATTAATCAAAATTTTCCGATTATTTGTCTTGTCTTCTGTTTATAATGCTAAGTATATATTTATCTATGCTTCTGTTTGTCTGTCTTGTCCATAGATAAGAGTGTATAGTCTTGTCTAGCATCAGATTTTCACTCAGGTTTTACAGTTATTATAACAAAACCAATCTCTGTATGCTAAAGAAAATATGAAGGAGCTAGTATTTAAATAGCAATAGAACGTTATTCCATGTAATATGTCTTCAACAGAGGGTTTACGAAAGTCACTAGATATGGACACTGTTTCCCAGAACTCGCAAAATGCACATTCAGAGATTAAAAAATCGGGTGAGAACGTCGAAAAGAATAAAAACAAAGGCTCAGGAGAGTCGCAGAGTACTTGCTATTGGTATGCATATACATATACACAAATACATAAACTTAGTTTTTTGCTAAACTAAAGCCGGGTCTGCTGCTCCAGTTTAAAAAAAAAGAGTATTAAACATACTTTAGTAACAAAAAGGTGACTTTAGGTTGGGTAAACAAAGTTTAATCTTTATGGTTTATTATAAAAAGTAAAAGCTATTATATATACATTATCCTTCTATGTACCATGTCTAAGAACCTAATTTTAAGTGGACTAAAGAAAAATCAGAAGTTAAACTTGAACATTGAATATAAACTTCATCCCATTTTTCCACCCATAGTGCAGGAATTTCACCTCCGATTTTTGTAACATCACATGAATTATAACCGATTTAACTAAAAAAAAAATCATTAAAGGAGGTTCACTATTGATGAAGATATCACTCAACATACGTACAAAGAAAGCAAAAAAAAAAGAATGTACACAAATTGAGATCCTTTCTCTTTTTTGATGTCAGCTAAAAATACACAATTTGTTGTTCAAGGCAAGACAGATCACAGTCTCCTATTTGCTTTTTTGCCAATAAAGTCCCAGCAGAGCACCCTAACTATTATAATGTTAATATGTTTAGTAAACTTGTTGGAGCTTGAACATTTTCTTGACTAGCTCAAAGAAAACAACTGGTGCATTTAACAATATTTTTGTGAGGCTACTTTGTGTGATTGTTATTTAGGTTTAACAACATTGAAACAATAATTTATACGTGGTAGAGCCATGCTGCAGCTATATTTCTGGTATAGTTGTAACACAAATGAGTTGGCTTGATGGGGCAAGGACCACGCTCTCACAGAATACCAGTGTCAAATAGCAGCTTAATGCTACTGTGTTTCGTATGGTGAGTGTAGAGAATCGGAGACCCTTTTTACTGGAAAAGAGGCTGGGTGACAATGCATCTGCATTTTGATTCCTAATCGAGGATAAATGTAGATGTTTATGGGCCATAGCAACCACTTACCATCAGGTGGACTGTGTGCTCGTTTGTCACCCTTATCCAAAAAAAAAAAATAAGATTAAATGTAATTTTTTTCATTTTGTATAGATCAACTGTATTTTCTTATTTTACTTATTTGTGTTACTTTATTTGATAGCAATTTTCTAAACCCTACTGATAGAAAGAATCCATAGTTTTCTTCATAATTCATAGGAATAACATAAACAATTTTTTATTTTTAGTGGCAAGGATAGAAATTTAAATATAGTAGAATTGCTCTGCGCTTCATGCAACAGATGGTTTCATGAGTCCTGCATTGGTTACCAACTCGGAAAGTTAGTTCCATTTATGACTAACTATCTTTTCATCTGCAAAAACTGCTCACCAACTGGACTTGAGACTTTTAAAAAGAATCAAGCTCGTAAGTAAAATCCTTTGTGTCTATGATTTTGTGATGTTTGTAATTATTGCAAATATTTTGTTGAAAAAAATCTTGAAGAAATACATAAAAAAGAAGATAAGCGAGAACAAAGAATAAATTATTAAGGATGTTATACCACTGACACACAAACACTTGACTATAGACCTGGCTACATGCTCAATCTTACTTGCACAAATTCTAATTTGCTGTAAAACTGTTTGCCCATGCATGAAGCTATCATGCATGGGCAAACAGTGGACATTGTGCATTGCATGCTTAACCAATTTTTGCAAATTTTTTGCAAAAATTGGTTATGCATGCAAGTCGCTGCTTGTTGCTGGAGATTTAAGGACAATCTATGAGGAGGCCCATGTTCAGTGTTTTGATAGGCTGCAATGAATGATGAATGAATGAACGTATTAAGTGTCAGTCCTATTATATTGTTTTATTAATAAATTAAAATTAATCTGCTCAATGAAAATGAATGCTGTTTTTTTTGTTTATTTTGTCATATAGGATAGGTGTATAGTGAAGATATTATGTCCCTCTTTTTATTTTATAAATTTTAGTCAAAACTAATCTAATTTTGGATAAAATTATAAAATTACAACATTACAACTTGCATCTTAAATAAATATAGTGATTTGATATGATGTTTTATGTACATGTTATAAGCATGTCTGTATGTGGCTCCTTAGCTTTTAAATGGGTGAAACGATTTGGTTGCGGTTTTTTTATTTAGAACTAGTTTTTCTTTTTTCTTTTTAGCAATGGTTCTTAGACATTCTTCTTCTTTAGATAAAGTCGATGCCATTTTTGAAAAAGTGGAGCAAGATCGTCATATTAGTAGTTACGACATAGCTAAAGAATTGAGAGTTGACCACAAAGCAGTTTTGACCCATTTTAAAAAGTCTGGCTATACAAAAAAAGGTCGATATTTGGGTACTACACAAGCTCACTGAAAGAAACCATATGAATTGTGTACACATTGATTCTTAAATGAAAATGAAAAAAAATTTTTTTTCCTTTTTTATTGATTCTCTATTGAAATTTAATAAAACCGAACCATTTTTCAAAAGATTGATAACTGATGATGAAAAATAGATCATCAAAGAATGTGCAAAATAGATCATGGTCAAAGGGTAGTCAAGCTACAAAAACTGTAGCGAAACCTGAATTAACACGCAATAAGGTGAAGCTGTGTGAATAGTGGGATCGGAAGGGCATTCTTTATTATGAGCTTTTGCCGACGGAGAAAACCGTCATTTCAGATCACCGCCGGAATTAACAGAAAAGGAGTGGTAATTCATCATCATAATGCCAGACCACACACATCTTTGGCCACTCGGCAAAATTGAGAGAGCTTGGTTGGGAAGTGTTAATGCGTCCACCATATAGTCCTGAGTCCTGACCTTGCACCCTCAGATTTTTACCTGTTTTGGTCTCATTCGAATTCTTTGGGTAGTGTTAGGTTAATATCAAGAGAGGGCTGTCAAAACTACTTATCGCATTTTTTTTTTGATCATATATTTCTACAGCAATGGGATTATGTCACTACCTACAAAAGATGGCAACATGTTATAGAACAAAATGGCACATACTATACATTATAATTAAATGTATAATTGAACTGAAAAAGAAATGTCTTGAATTTGTATATAAAATACAAAGAAACTTTCCTCAACCCTATGTATTATCAGTATTGTATTATTATAACTATTTACTGCTGCAATCCCTAATACATAAAAAATCCACTGAAATAAAATGATTTATTCTAATATTTTTTTTATAATTTTGTTTACAGCTTTCCCACAAATGTGTGTCACAGCTATAGCTAATCTGAAGCAGGAGAGCACTAAGGAAGGCAGTAACAAAACAATGTTCAGTAAAGACAGGGAAATAATACCATACATTGATCAGTATTGGGAAGCAATGACCACTATGCCAAGGAGGTAAAGTACAGTTTCAGCTAATATACATCTGCCCGCTGAGTATGACCCTCTATGTACTTAGTCAGGTCATAAGTTCTGTCAAAAACTTTTTATATAATTAATGATACACTTTTTGATAATTATATATGAAATGAAAGGTAATTTAATTTAGAATAAAATGTTATTTACATTATTGAAAATGCCCTCTACTAATTTGAATACATGCCCTTAATCGACGCAGCCAATCATCAATCGCAGCACGCACCACATTCATATCTATTTCTACCGCTGCTTTAGCCAAAGATGCTCGGAGGGATTCCAAATTCTGATGAGGTTTAGTACAGACTTTCTCCTCCAAATGTTGCTATATCTTGTAATCCAGTGGGTTTAAATCTGGACTAGAAGAGTGCCAGTCTTCATGTTCGATTAAGTCAATTCGCACAGTCAGCACACAAAACTTGTTATGCGTGCTTCATGCCCTATGAGCTGGTGCAGAGTCCTGTTGGAATATCCAATGTCTGTTTTTGAACATTGTTTGAGAAAGAAGTTCCACTATGTTTATTAGGATGGTATTTTGTTACACCTCGGCTCTGGTTTTACACCTTCTTCTCAGAAAAACACCTCCGTTAACTTGAATATGAGACGGCAAGCCAAACCATGAGTGACGAAGGATAATGTCCTCGTTGAACCCTTGGAATACGTGTGCTGGCTCTTTCACTGCTGTGGGCATACACCTTATCATTTTGTTTATTATAACTTTCTTCAATGTTAAAAATTTTTTCATCAGAACACAAAATTTCGCGGTATTTTTTTCCCACGTACCGCCGTAACAAAGCGCTACAACTATTCAGCCAAATTTTTTTAAACGCTCTTTTAAAAAATGTCCAGTCTTCTTACGATAAGCTCGTAGTCCTAGGTCTTCATTGATAACTCTTTTGACCATGGTTCTGCTTAGGCCCATCTGAAGAGCTTAAATTTTTTGTTTACGAACAGGATTTCGTTGGATTCTCGCCTTCACTGTTTTGATGATCGCGGGTGTCCTAACTGTACGAGGTCGACCGCTCCTCTTACGATCTTCGAAGCTTGAATCTTCAGTGAATCGTTTGATAGTGCGATAAACAAATCGTAGGGTTATTTTCAATTTTTGTAAATTATTGAAAATCTTTTTTGGCGCGTAACCCCACAACGTGCAACGTGATAACCACTACTCCTTATATCTATCTTCTTTCTTCGACCACTCCATATTTGAAATGAATGAAAATTAATGTCTTTTATTTTCGGCAAGCGCAAACGTTATATTTTTAAAATTGGTGAAGCTCATCTAGCCCGTATTCAAAAATTTTAAATAATTAGGTTTTGACAGAACTTGTGACCCAACTAAGTATTTCTTCTTATTTTTGTGAGGGTTATGGAGCAATTAATCCACCATACTGCTACAGTGGGTGTTGGCGGACGTAACATGTGCTTGAAATATTTTATTTTTCAGAACCTTCACCTTCAGAAACCTAAAGAACAATGGCAGACTTTCATACATAAAATTAGTTGAGAAGGAATGGTAGCGTCTATATATCAAAAATATCTTAAAATGTTAAGCGTCAGTCCATTAAAAACTCTGTCAAAGAATTTTGTCTTGAGAAAGCGTCAAAAAAGATATTTAAATTTGAACCTCTAGGTTATGTCTTATGTCACTTGGGGAAAAAGTCATGCGTCCTGTGGTTGATTGATGTTAGCTTAATACATTCTCAACATAATGTACCTACCTACATAATTCAGAGCTTTTAGATTATTGTATCTCTATTATATATTTGCATACTATAAATGTATATTTTTGGCATGGCTCCAGGGCAATTTTATTGCTAATTAAGGACAAGCACTTAATCCTCGCGACTTCGCCCGCGTGTAATTCAGGGTTTTAATCATGTTGCACGGAACCCTAAATCGTTTTCTAAAATATAAGTAGCCTAAGTTACTCCTTATAACATTTACTATCTGCTAGTGAAAGTCCAGTCGCAATCGGTCCAGCCGTTTCGGAGATAAGCCGAAACAAACAGACAGACAGATAGACAAAAAATTTAAAAATTGTGTTTTTGTTATAAGTACCGTATATACTTTCATATGCATTTGGTAAAAAACAGACACTTCAATTTTATTTATTTGTATAAAATAGATTTAATTCTGTTACATAAAGAAAATATTACAGATTTTATCAGGGGTAACATTAACTCTTTTATTTTGGTTTGGTTTAGTTTGGTCACGGGGTTCCTCTATTTGATTACTAAAGAGTAGATCAATTACTTATGCATGACAGAGTATAAATACTACGTTGATCAATAAGTTTTTGGAAATGTAAATTGTATTTACTGACAGATTATAGTCTCAGATCCGGCTGCAAGATTACTATGTTCATGTGTAGTTTTTACATATCTGGGAATACATTTTTGCTCTCAAAATGATGCCGCAAGTATTTTTCATTAAAATAATATTAATTAATGTTTTTGAAAAAATTTGGCCGCAACCTCTCCACAGCCAGGTAAACAGGTAATACTTTGTTACAGTTGTATGTTGATGACGTATATTCATTATTTATATATGAAATTAAAGCTAATTTTATTTCTAGAGCATGATGGAATACGGAATTGCTCGTCTAACAAAATTTGTTATACGAACAATTGCCATCCTTGTTAATAATTTTAAAAATAACTAAACAAGAATTTACTAATTAAAATTATTTTGGGGAGTATTATAAAGTAGTTCCCACTACTTTTCGTACCGGTGGTCGACTAGGTGCCAACGCATGTGCAATGGCTTTAAAAACGTGGACAGCTTGCAATTGCCATCCTTATCTAACGAATGATGTAGCATGCTAATTCTATTTCATATTAATCTATCTTTAACAGCTAGTTACCCTTATTTGCGGCTACGTTAACATAGGCGATTCCGTATTCCGTATTTCATCGTGCTCAGAAAAAATTCTCTTTAATTTCACTTATAAATAATGAGTATACATCATGAATATAACAAAATCTTACCTGTTTACGTCTGATTGCCAAGTACGCTATTGCAACCAAACCTTTCCGAATTCTTTACATATATTCCTGTGTAGGGCTATATAATTTATTTAAAAAACAAGTGAATGAAATTTTTCCGAAAACATAAATTAATATTATTTTAATTAAAAATACTTGTGGTCACATTTTGAAATGTAATTGAAACGAAATGAAATGCAAAAATGTATCCCCCACTTATAATTATAAATTAAAATTAGATTTTGATTAAGAACTACGTGAATGTTGTAATCATGCAGCCGGATCACGTACTGTTAGTGATGAAACACGCATGTAGTCAATGGATGCAGTTGCCTCAGGACCATACTTTGTGGCTTGGGACTTGTGGTGGATTATAGTGATAGTAGTGGAGCTCTCACTGTTGGGCACACTCCTCAACTTGTTACTGAGAACAATGTAGGGCAAGAAAATGTTGGCCGCACTGCCCTAATGGGTGTAGGCGAACTTCATATGTCATCGAAATATATTTTTTTCTTATTTTTCACACATGTCGGTTTCCTCACGATGTTTTACTTAACCGTCGAGCATGTGGTAAATCTGCACTTAAAATTTGCGATTAACAATTTCTTTGGGAGCTGCTGGGAATCGAACCCGTGTTGCTTGCGTACTGTGACATTTACAGCGAGCACTGCCCCTGAGCTACAACAGCTAAACACCAGTATACACTCTTAAATACTTTTTATTGATGTATTCTATATTGAACGTATAGTCTACTTGTTTGCATTTTGTCAATTTAACTTTTCTACCGACTTCAAAAAGGAGGAGGTACTCAAATCGACTGTATATTTTTTTCTTTTTATGTGTGTTACCTCATAACTTTGTTCTACTTGAACAGATTTCGATGATTCTATTTTTATTTGAAAGCTGGTGCTTCTCATGTTGTCGAATATAAATTTGATCAAGGTCTGACCAATAGTTTTTGAGTTATCCTTAATAATACATATTGAAGTTAATTGTACAGATTTTTTTTATAGAATAAGGGTGATAAACCAGTACGCAGTCCACTGATGGTAAGTGGATGCTGTGGCGCATACACATCTACGTCAATTTTCGATAAGGAATCAAAATGTAGATATATTGTCATACCTGAGGACTAAGATGGAATGCCTCGTTTCCTGTAAAAAATGTTTTCGGATCTCTACACTCGTCAAACGAAACAGCTGCATTAAGGTATTACATAGCTGGTATTCTGAAAGAGCGTGATCCTTGCCCTGTCACTTACCCGACCTTGTCATGCTATAAATATAATATAGTTTCCACAAGACACATATAAAGGGTTAAATATGATAGCTAAAGAGTATTTAATCACTACTTATAAATCATTACTTACATCTGGCAGAATAAATCAAAAATATATAGGAACACTTTAAAAAGTTAGTTGTCAATCTATTAATGTCTTAATTTAAATGTACGAGATGGATAATTTATACAAATTTATTTGTTAAATTAAGCAATCAAGTTCTATGTATTTATGTTCCTCAGTATCTTTAAGATTTAGGAAGTATATTTTTATCAACTTACTAATTTAAAACTCACGTTACTCACCACCATTAAATTTTTCACCCAATTGTCGATGTTTTTTTAATTTTTTTCTTAATTTTTGTGTCTTATATCACAGGGTGACACAGTCGTGGTACGCGACGGTGCAACGGGCGTTGATCAAAGACATCCAAGTCCTATTTACGTACGAAGAGGACCCCATACAGGGGGCTATGTTCGGGCTCTTTAATATGGAGCTCACTTCCATTAAGCCCAACTACGAGGCAATGATTAAACAGGGACAGCTGAAAGTTACCGATATGGGAATTGCTACCGGTGAGTACAATAGCATGAACATTATCTTAATTCAAAACGTAACTCGAAGTAGCGATATTTAAAGCTATCTTAGATAAAAGTGTAAAGGAAGTGACTGTCGGCTCAGTACCTCAGTGGCTAAGTCTTTGGTAGTAGCGCTGCGCGTCGCGGGTTTTGCATCTGCGGGAATTTGTATTTGTATGGTTTACATATAGGTTAAAAAACCTTATTCTGTACAGGTGTATTTTATTATAATGCTTTTACTAATATTTTTATAAATCAGAAAGGGTGGCACTCGGTATGCAAGGACTACTTAAAAAAAGTGTGTGTACTTTTGTACGTACGTAGGAAATTATACTTCTTTAGAGTAACAAAACAAAAACAAAACTTGAGAGACAATTACCCACTGAAGTTGCCGCTTTTAGGTGTCAGTGTGCGCCCGCATCGTAACTACTTCATTTAGGTGTCGGTGTGCGCGCGCATCGTAAAAATTCACTCTCATCATTTTCCCAAACGCCCCAAAAGAAGTATAACTTGCTGATTTTGACTACATTGACCAACTTTTGAATACTGTACTCGTAGCAAGTTATTAAATGCATATTATATTATGCTAATAGAATTGTTAAAAACACAAGTGTACGCGTTCAAAGGCGCTAATACTAATACAGTGTCATAAACAGGCAGATTTCAAATTGGCTAACCCTGCTGAGTCACGGATCTGACCGGCGGATTTGGGAGAAACCTTCCATGCGTTACTCACAGAACCGAAGCTAACAGTTCGTGCTTTTGCGCAAATGTTGGTTCTTCGACGTACCTTCAATTTATTTTCAGGCCACTAATCAATGTCTGTTTGCATCAGAGCCATGTTTGTTTATAACTATATAATGTTTTGCCTTTGGCCGCCTTTGGGCGACTTGTCGACCGAAGCCGCCAGAGTCGAAATGCCCGTGTCGTCCCAAGTGTCATAAAAATCTAAAATAGTTAAAAGTCCTCCATAGTCTTTGAATATTATTAAAAACGACTATAATAGAGATGTTGCATCTCTTTGCGTATTTTATCGCATCTACCACAGGGAGTGCTCTGAGGAATTATTCAGACTAATTCCAGCCGCTCAATTTTACCATCGCCACAAAACTCGCGATAACTAGTGATATCTGGATGATTGGCGGTCCACCACTGTGCGATTTAGAAGAAGTTTTCTTCCTCGCACAACTTCCTTGTGGAATCGACTACCACCAGAGAATTTTCCTGACCGCTATGACTTAGGGACCTTCAAGTAAAGAGCCTACTTTTTTTTAAAAGGCCGGCAATGCTTCTGCGATTCCCATTGATGTTGCAGTTGTCCATGGGCGGCGGTAGTCACTTACCATCAGGTGAGCCGCATGCTCGTTTGCCCCCTCTCCTATTAAAAAAATATTTTTTTATTCTTATCTCTAACCATAACAAGTGTGTGTGGTGCAGATTATTTCAGAACTTCTCTATTTTTGGAACTTTCAAAACTATAGTTTTCTTTTTACTACAGTTTTTTTACAAGTCTAAATACGAATGGTTTAATGTTAATTTTTTTTACAAGCTAAACCCAGACTCCCACATAACAAAAATGCTACCTATATATACCTATACCGGATGTTAGTGAAACGCTCCCGAAAACGAAGACGGACGATAGTACTAACGATACCTTTGATGATAAAGAAATTCAATCCCGAGGAAAAAAAATCATCTTTTCACAACGTTTTATTAACATTATTCACGCTCCATCATGTTAGTACAGCTGAATGAAACGATAATATCATAAAAAAATCGTGAAAATACTTAAACATAAAACCAGCAGTGAAACTTAAAATAAAATCAGCTGACAACAGGGTCAATATTCTTGCGGACGCCGAACTCTTATCTAGCTCTGTGCGAAACAATGCCTACTCACTCTACCCTTCAATTTCACACACGCGCTACCGCCACATGAGTAAAGAAACCGACCAGAGGGGAAGCTACATACAAACGGCTCGCCGTGAATACACCCATACATAGCGCAGCGATGTGTGCGTGAGCTCACACCGACAGGTTCACCGACGCTCTGTCGGGGTACAAACCGGTTTGCGCCGGCTCAGTCAGAGTATCCTTGAAAGGGCTGTTTGTTAGTCGTGCGCATTTAAATAAATAGACCAACAATATTTCGAAATTTTATACATCAATTAATTTATTAAGTTTTTTGCAATTATTAAATAATTAGATTTAAGTATTTTCATTAAAATAATTAAAAATTAAGTTATTATAAATTTATATAGTTAAATAATAAGTGTTCTGTATAAGCAAAAATGCCTAATAGTTGTACAGTATGCATGAATAATTCTAGAGAAAATAAGGATATTTCCTTTTTTTTTTTGTACCCGAGAGACCAAGTGAAGTAAGTACCTTTTTGCGTATTATACACAATAAAATTAGGTAATAACATTGATAGGTACGTCGCCGAGTGATGAAGTCGGTCTAACCTACTTGAAACGTTAGTCAGTCTAAGCTTGACAGTGCCGTAGATGGCAGGATATCCTTATATATATATATATATATATATATATATATATATATATATATATATATATATATATATATATATATATATATATATATATATATGTAATATATATATAGATAGAAGATAAACGTAATAAGGCAGTGGTAGAGCCACGCGGCAGCTTTTGCTGTCGCACGGATGGGCCGGCTCGAACCGGGGTGGTACCACGACCTCACAGAAAACCAGCGCGAAGTAGAGATTTATCTCTGCGTTTCGCTTGGTGAGTGCAGGTGGCCGGAGGCCCTTTTTACTGGAAATGAGGCATTCCATCTTAGTCCTTACGGGTGACAACGCATCTACATTTTGATTTGTAATAGAGCATAGATGTAGATGTCTATGGGCCGCAGCAACCACTTACCATCAGGTGGACTGTGTGCTCGTTTGTCACCCTTATCCTATAAAAAAAAGAAAAAAAAGGCTAAATTTGTGACTTTATCCACACACATCCTTCCCCAGGGGTAAATACCACTGTATTATGGTTAGAATACAATCACCAGACATTGGTGGGGGTGGTGGGATTGTTGTTGGTGGAAGTGGTGCTGATGATGGTGGATAGTGTTGCTGATGCTGTCAGTGGTGGTGGAGGTGGTAGTATCGTAGGTAGTGGTAGTAGGCAGTGGACCAACAGTGGCTCCATTAACACCACCATCATTTTTTCCTTAAATTTTTCACATGCATCATGTGACAACCCTATCAGAATAGGTATACATTTTCGACGTTGTTAAGAAGCTTCCCCTCTGGTCCTTAATCTTTACTCTGTGCTACCGCCGCCCGGCCGGATCGTGTTGCCTCGCGCTGTGGAATTTACACATGTCAGCTTTGTCAACATGTGGGGAATTCCCAAAATTGCGGGGAATTTAAAGTTGGTTGGGGATTTTATGGGGATTGGTATTATGCGGGGAAAATACGGGAATTTTGAAAATCGATAGCCAGGGCCAACTCAGAACCTTCTTTCAAGAAATCTAAATACTTATCTTAACATTTTGTAAGGTTACTTATGAATATCGAATAACTGTTCATTCATTCAATTCATTGCACGACATTTAATTTTTGGATTTATTTCGGCAACTTTTGTGTATCGTTTAATACTTTTCATTTCTTTATTTTTAACATTTTAAAGAAAAAAAATGTTAGTTAAAAATTTAATCTTATAAAATTAGTTGAAAATTGTTTCATTTCTTAAAATAAAATTGAGGGGAATTTATGAGGAATCTGTTGAAGTTGTAGCCGGTGGAAGAAAAAGGGGAGATCTCCCGTCGGGCAAGGTGTTCTGCCCGGGGAGCGGCTAACGCTCCGATTGGTAGTTCGGAGCTATTCTATATATTATGCTGCTTTAACTTCGGAACTTTGTTAGTGCGATTTAGGCTTCGATATGTTTCACTTGTGGCGCGACGACAGCGAAAAACATCCGAGTTTGGGCTCGTTTTGTTAGTTATGATGAGACCTTGCCTTAGAACTACAATTAATAGAATCAGGCGTTACTTTGCGGAAATCCACCATAATGGGGTTGGTATAAACTAATTTGCCTAATTCCGCGTAAAGAAATAAAATGATGTGTCCTGCCCCTTAAAACTGGGCTAAAACTAAATATTAACTATTTACAAAGATATTTACATGTCTATATATGCGCATACATACACGCTAAATCCTAAAACAAGAATTTAATCTTAAAATCTTCAAAAAAAAAACTTTTCTAAGTAACCAATCACAGCGCGATGAGCTTAGGCATCCATCCGCTGCCGGTATGCTTCGATAAGCTATCTTTCTTGCACTTATGGCTACGCATAAGACTTTTTTATCGTATTAGTTGGTAAACTTTATTCATGTCTGGGAATTGTTTACAAGCGCTAAATTCGTCTGGCGATTTGCAGATGTTATTTAAAATTACTCAATAAACACGTGATTAAAATTTGAGATTGCCAAAAATATATTTTTTGGGAACTAAAAAAAATATTTTTGGAGAGGTCTGGTAATACTTTATAACCCACAAAAACGTCTGGGATTTTTTTTTTAATTATATAAAAACGATGGGCAGCAGCATCTTCCTGATAATAGCCAAATAACAATAAAAAAACTGCGGTTGCCAACCCGCTCGCCAAGCGTGGCAACTATGGCAATATACCCCCCATGAGCAATGACAATAATAAACGGCCCCCAGTCCCCGGCGGCCCCGCTATTCCTGGCTACGGTGGCGACCATGGTAACGGCGGGGCAGGGGGTGCTAAGAATCTCCGGTGGAGGTTCGGTTGCCACCTACGACGACTCGACCTGGCAACATACAACGCACGCACCCTGAGGACTGACGAGAAGATTGTGGAGCTGGAAAAAGAGATAGACAAGTTACGCTGGCATATTATAGGATTATCCGAAGTCCGAAGAGAGGGGGAGGACACGGTAATCCTCGAATCCGGCAACTTGCTCTATCACCGGGAGGGCGACCATCTGTCCCAAG